TTATTATTATTATTATTATTATTATTATTATTATTATTATTATTATTATTATTAGTCACTCGTTCATATTGTCAAGTCAACTTTCTATACATCTGATTTTATCTAGAAATTTAACTATTATTAATATTATCATTGGGCCGTTCCATGTCAAATCGACCATTAGTTGGAATCGACCTCTTTCAATTTGGACGAACTTTGGCCAGAAGTTTTCTTTTACCATATAACGAAGTTCTGGCACAAAGGAAAAAAATTATAAAAAATTTATTTGAAAAGCTATGCAAACTCTAAATTTCGGATTTTTCAAGTTTTTCAATTTTGTTTTTGTAATAACTCGAACGATAGTATAGATATAGGAATGATCTTTCGTTTGTTCGAAAGGGGACACTTAGAGCTATTAAAAAAATTGAAATTTTGTGAAAAAATTTTGAAAAATGTCAAATTTTGAATTTTTAAAATTGTCGAAAATGACGGTCAACAATAAATTTTTGGCTCTAATTTTTTAGTATACTACCTTGTAGTAATCTTAAAAGACCATGAAATTTTTGGAACTGTGTTTTTTGTTTTTTTTTAAAATATGAATTTTTGAAATTTATTAAAAAAAAATTTTTTCTTAAAATGGTTTTTTTCTCATCATTATGCCACTATATGAAATTTCAACTGTTAAAAATATCAAAATCACGCGATTTACCAATCTCAATGAGGATAAAAATAAAAAAAAAATTTCGAGAAAAAAATTTTTTTTAACAAATTTCAAAAATTCATATTTTTGAAAAAACAAAAAACACAATTCCAAAAATTTTAGAATCTTTTAAGATTGGTACAAGGTAGTATACAAAAAAATTTGAGCCAAACATTTATTGTCGACCGTCATTTTCGACGATCTTCAAAAATTAAAAATTTGGCAAATTTGACATTTTTCAAAATTTTTTCACAAACTTTTAATTTTTTCAATAGCTCTAAGTGTCCCCTTTCAAACAAACGAAATATCATTCCTGTATCTATACTAGCGTTCGAGATATTACAAAAACAAAATTCAAAAACTGGAAAAATCGCGAAATTTTGAGTTTTCGTATCTTTTGAAATAAATTTTTTCATTATTTTTCCTTTGACAGAACTTCGTTATATGATAAAAGAAAACTTCTGACCAAAATTCGTTCAAATCAAAAGGGGTTGATTCCAACCATTGGTCGATTTGACATGCAATGACCCCATTATTATATATTAGTTATTAATTGTTTGATGAACAATTTATATATAACTATAGTCCTCAGTATCTTATTGATCGTATTAAAGATAGAAATTTATATTTTAAATGAGTATTTAATTTTTAAATTTACAAACTGACAAACTGTAACTTGACGAAATAATAACAATCAAAACAATCGCCTCTT